CTCTCACATCAAGCACAAAGTGTCCGTCATACTGAGTCTGGTGTGAGATTAAATGGCAAAAATTTACATTCAGTGCCATGTGCCACGAATAAAAGTATCATAAGTATGCAGAGAGCCCACAATGGCAAGCAAACACAAGTCACTGACTGTGACCTTAGGAAGTCCCAGTCCAATAACAGTCTTGGCGGATCGAGGAAAGCAGATTCCTCGATAAGAGATGATCATCGGTTGGTGGACCAAAAAGTCGACATCACAACCAATTGAACGTAGGGCTGAGATGATGGCGAGGGAATATTCATCAGTACCATACTTCTGATTCTTCTCATTCCACACAGTCACTCCGCGCCCATCCGAGACTATGCTGACGTCTATTACAGTTTCTCGGCGATCACGAACAGCGATTAGGTCAGGTTTGATGAAGGACGTTCAAGTAGATGCTCTCAACTCCTCAAAGACGGTGTATCCCAGTCGACGGAGACTTTTTGCGAGTTCCCTTGTAACCCGATTATGACGAGCACATCTGGCATCATGCGTGATCCAGCAGGATTGAGAAATATGCACCAAACTCTCCGGTTGGTCACAGTTTCCACGACATAAGATCGTCTGGCCACCATGACCATGCCGAGCGCTTCTAACTCTCATCCTGAGCAGGTTGCACCCGAGCCGCATACCGCGGATAAATATCCAATGGAAATACAATCCATCGATTCGAGAGAACAGATTAATGAGAAGGAAATTCATAGCTTTGTTAGAAAATAACAGTTAAGTACTCCCTCTTCAATACAATCGCATGTCTGTGCACGGAGACTCTCCCCCACATAAAACGATCGCTTCTGAAATGTGACTCTGAGAGACTGCGGTTTGATCCACTGTGACAGGCACAAAACACATCACGTGACCATGGATTGGCTAGCTGCCGGGTGATGACTTCTCAAACAGAAATTTTCGTCACTCGATTGTCCGGTCTAAGTTCGAGTTAATCACATTGCTCACCAGCTCCCTTTGGACGAATGTGTGAGCGTTGAAGGTACCAGTCGGAAGGTCGCAGGTTCGAGAATCCCCTGAGTTTTGTGAAGTGATTTTCAATAAGGATGAAGTGGCTGCAAACTGCTCCTCGACCTTTCAACATAAAATGGCTTCAACTGAACTGGAAGCGATGTTCTGATTCCAGAAGGACATCCATTTTGTAGTTTCGCCTTCAATTTTGCCAACATTTGGTTCCTAAGAACCAAAAGTTTGAACCAAATCGTTTTCAGAATTACAGAAATACTCTGTCGTTCTTATTCCCTAACTCGATTGAAGAAAAAAGCTATGCCCGTTGTACCACACACCTTGTGCGAAACAGAGTTCAATATCAGGCCTGAATTTGTGGAGAGACCAACCTATATGTAATCACATGGGGAGCCTTACAAACTGGTGTTCCCCAAGTTTTAGCCATGCAGGAAAATGTCGGGACACAGTATCCTGGAATTCGAAGCGGCTGTTACCCCCCATAGTCGGGTTTTCCACGTAGTAAACAAGTTTTCCGCTACTGCAGGATGAAATCAAGTGACATTTCCAAAAAAACGTGCGTGTCTTAGCTGCATAGATGGTGTTACAGGAGCGAAGCATGAACGTTCGCCTGTTCCAACACTTGTTCGGCAATTAACGAAAACCCGTGGACTGTGACGGGGGAAAAAACGTCCGAAATGTTCGATGCACACATGAACAGTTTGGATCGACTGGGTACCAAATAAGTGAACGAGGGAATAATTGCCGGGATGGAGTTCTCCGACAGCTGTCATCTCCCCAGGGCGCATTGTAGAGCGATTAGAATTCGGCAGATGTTGTGCTTCAGGCTATCGATCGCCGATATTTCGACAAGGTATTGACACATGGAATTCCGTGTACGACTGGTAGGCTGCAGGCGGTAGGGTAGAACAAGAAACGATCGATATTAGAAATGCCTAACCTGTGCCAACCTACCCAGGTTTTCAAACTTTGAGAAAGAGTGATTGAGTCAGTGTCTCTGTGTTACGTATGCCGAACCATCGTTTGCCGAAGAGAGTGCTGTTTTCCATGCCCAACTCAGAGTGGCGTAAACAGAGAGGTGGCCAACCCTTGACTTCGCAGAGGAGTATGAAGGAGATCACGAAACGCTTGGGTGCTGTCGGCGCTACTTGCCTTCTAGGATGGGGATCGCGTGCTGCTCACCGTGCCTGGTTGGCGACACTACAACATAAGGCTGCCAACCGATATAAGTGGCGATCTTGTTGTCAGTTTCTATCCACATTGCCTGAGTGAATGTCTGGAGGTGTAGGCAGCTCGGAGTGATTGTGGTAAGCTAGCACTTAGTCCCTTCCCCGTCCACATTTACTCTTCCCTTTACAATAAGGTTTTCAAATAACTCATGGTTGTACGGTAGTGCGATATCGGTGTTAAACACGAATGTCATGGTGTCGATGATGATGATGATGATGATGATGATGATGATGATGATGATGATGATGATGATGCAATTTCTGCAATTTCTGTTGCTTCTGGGCAACCGCATTTGGAACATCTACCCGACGAGGAGAATGCGTTGTAAGCGACACGATTTCCAATCACTTGCCTCCGCGTTTTGAGTTCTGAAACTCCATCGATTCACCAACCAATGATAATACATTACTTGTATTGTTACAATACTCGAACTGACACCAAGGTCATTCCAGCTGCCTTTCCCCAGTGATTCATCATGGTTTGGTACTTTGGAACTGAAATGTCCTGGCTCTTTTCGATTCTGTCCCATCCCATCCAACTGGTAACGTTATTCATTCAAGACAGCTGTCCACTGCAACTTAATTAAATCCATGTAGCGAAGCTCGAACAACATACCGTGCGGTGTGAGAGTGGGAAACAATTAAAAATGACAAAACTTCCTATTTTAGGACGGTTTTTGATTATGCTCGACATGCAGTTGGCTGGGTTAATCCATTTTTTCGTGTTCTGGATAATGCAATGCCAGGAAGAGAAACGAAAACCTCCTAGAACTGAGCGTTACAGTAGCTTGGGTGCGTTTGCTGGGCTCTCTGAGCTGGGCACTCAGATTGCAAACGTTGCGTCCCCAGTCAAGGAGACATCGTCAGTACGCAGGCCCAGTACACTGCGCATTGACGATGTCTCTTCAACGGAGGATGAAATCTTTGCAAGCTAACTGTTCAGTTCAGCGAGAAGATCAACGGTCAGCCGGTTGAGTTCCTACCTGAAGGATGAAGACAGCCAAATCTCTACTTTTTATTAAGGGCTGAATTGCCGCAAGTTTGAGTACTTGACTGGCTCTTTTTTTTAAAAGAAAACTCTCCTTTATTTTTTGTCTGTTTTAAACATGGTTCCGAGAGGAAACACGAACCAAAGATCTAGTTTTCAAGAAATTCCGTCCCTTGAAGCACGTTCTTTGTACGTGCTTTGTACCCGCTTGGTGGCCGCGAAACCCACCTGCTTCAATGAGCCTTCTGAGTGATCACAAGGAGACTTTATTAGTGCAATGTTGATGATGGCCATAATACAAATCAGAAGGTATATGCACTAACAATTGTTTTTGGTATGGTTGATAATGCCACACATATAAAAATACTTACAATGCGAAACGGGAGCACGCCAAAAGAGGAAGTTATCGTCGGTGAAAGTCCTGACGGCGGGAACGTGTTTTCTCTGCATTATGGCTGCTACACGTGTTCCATAGTTGTCTGTGGACTTGTGGACAGTGGCTGACTTCCTGTTTCCTGCGCGCGCGCGCGCGCGAGTCTGTATGCTGTGTTCGGTTTCCCCATATACAGGTCCGTTTGCGCGTACGTGGGCGCGTTAGCACATGAGTAGTTGCTATGATTACTGGACGGTACAGACAACCGATGTCCGATGAGTCACCTTAACGTGACGTGGTTTGTGAGAATGAAAAAAAAGACGAGTCCCGTGATCCAGTGAGCGACTGTGAGCTGAACAGTCAAGTATGTGGGCGACGGGGTGGCTACAACTTCACCATCAGTTGAAGGCTGTCATCCAAGGGGTCATCCTGACACATCTAGGATAAAATGGTGATTAGCTGTCATACCCAGGTATAATCCATCATCAGAGGAATAGGCTTTCATCCCGAAATCATGTACTAGGACGGGGGTGCAATATGTGACTTCCAAATTTGGCGAGCCCAAGCAGATGGGTTGTTTCCCGTGTGAACAATCCGGTCACGTTGAGGTGGGACCAGTTTGAAAGTGGGATTACTGGCACACATCACAGCCTAGCAGATTCTACTCAATGTCAGTTCAATCATCTCAGAGGAAAACCGGCGCAAAGACAAGTTCTTGAATACTCAGGTCTAATTGCTTCGACCTTACTACAGGAGGTAGCTTTGTGTCACACCAAGGAATTAGGACATGACCCGATTCCAAGTCTAACTTCAACAGTTAATCCTTTCTTTGACTAAACTTGACTCTCTTTTAAACGAATCTGCATGCGAGTTCTGGTGGCTGATCAGTACATGGAGCATTTTGACGTCATTGTTCACAGGTGAACAGTTAATCCCGCTCGCGATGAGNGAGATTCTGGTCCGCGGCTCTGAACCGCGTGTGACCTAAGAACTTGAACCAGCTACATAGTTGGTCCATTAGTGATGCGGCCAATAACTTTTGCCTTGGTCAAGACAACCATCAGTGAATTCATGCTCCATGAAACGTGTGCTGTATCACACAAGATCTGGGACCGTCCGTTTGTACAATCAGGTTACTTCTGGATCATGGACCAGCACCAGGAATGTACAACAACCAGTCAAGCTTCACCCCAGCTAGCACTTAATGGCTTACCAGATGTCTCCAGAAAAATCTAATCAACAGCCCAACGATATGTTTTACGAGACCAGACACGGCTGTGTGATTCACTGTGCCCTTTTTAGCGCTGGTTCTCTCAGAATACTTGGTCGGGACGGTCTTCACCAAAGTATTTTTTATCGTATAACATTCGGTATTTAGTCCAACACCGATTTAGGATTTAAAACCAGCGATACCGAGGATTCTCACATGACTGAACTATTGATTTGTTCGGATCGATACGCTACAACTACGACCATGGGGCGTCGCTGGCTGAATCTATGAGCAAGTGGTAGGACAAGATCCAACCGGCATGACTGTTGACTGACTGAATTCTAATTACCAAATCAATTCGATCGCGATCTCTGTGAACACAAGTGATGTTTACAAAGTCCAAAGATTTCAAGTTCATTCAAGGCAGAAAAAATCGAAAAAACTGGTTATCTT